TATCGCAAAAGACACAAAAAACAGTGAAAGCTCATTCTGCTATTTACTAGTATTGTACCTGATCACGAGTACCTTACAGTTACACAAATGAGCTGCACTATTTCACACATTCAAATTCATGTACTTCAGTCGCACAGTGACGTGTGGCCTGGATGTCAGACTGTTGCCAGGGACAAATCTTTAATTGCTGCTCTCAGTTATGATGTAGAGTAGACCCTGAGCAAGTTACAAGGGGTGTCCGTGATAAAATTTCCTTGGGGGCAATCTTGGCCCTTCAGTGGGAGCTGGCCTTGGCCCATCTAGCAGTAGTCTGGCATCCACCCTATAAAGTGATTTGTGACTGTATGATCATGGAGTTAGAAGATCTTTTACCTCCATGGTATGATGTAACAGTTTAATACACATGGTTGCTACCACAAAACTGTGGTACAGATTAGTAAATATCCTGTTGATGTGGCAAACACACAGTGCGTGACCAAAGTTTTAAAGAGACATTGAAGACTACTCATTAAAGGAAGCACCAGACAGTAAAATGATTTGGCTGGAACTTATGAAAGAAATTAATGCATGTGCATGTAACTCAAGGTAATGCAGAGACAATCCAACATTGCAGGTGGGTATTTTGAATTTGAGCCATCAGATCCATGGCTACACCACACACACAAGCCATGATATTATATTAGGGATATTGACTAATTGAGCGCCAGCTGAAACCAGTCACTAGGTCGATAAACACCGAAAATGGGTCAATTAAAGAGCCTTCAAACGGTTACATAACATTAAAATGCTTTAAATATGGTATCATTAGTTGAATTAAGTCTTAATCTCACAATCTGTCCAACTTTTATTAAAATACCTTAGATCGTAAGCTAGGAATAGCCCACGGGTCGTGTGAGTTTTTACTAGGGGACCACACTGACCCCAAAACCTGGAAGCTATCAGCAATGTGTCTGGATATACCTTCAGACTAAATAAATCAAAGATGTCACAACTCTGTGAATCTAGAGTTGTTGTGCATCTTGTTTTATTCACTATACTGTGATTGTGAATTGCTTACTGACTCCTCCAGACCATTTTGACCTACATGTCAACCTCATTTCCTCTCAGCCTGCAGGGAGACCATTTTGACCTCCAATTTGCCACTCGGCAACATCATCCATCATATACAAAAAAGGAGAAAATTCAGCTTCTACATGTCAGCTAGTTCAAATATCAATATCAAATACTAATATCTGTGACTCTGCACTGTGAATGTTGTTTGCCTGACATATATCTGTCCACAGCTGTGTTTGAAGCACTGTTGGCTCATGTCTGCGCGGATAGGGCATGCATGCAATGTCACTTGCCGTAAAAATATCACACAAACACGTGTAACAAATAGCTTGATGCCAAACTGAGAAGTGGAAATATGTCCGTCATATGCTGAAGTAAAGAAGTTGAAAAGCAGAGTGTCTGCAGTGGCAGTAACACTTTAGGGCATGCCTCCAGTTTATTCCATTCATTGCATGCTTTTTTGGCTGATGAAGCTTAAGCTTATAGGCTACCAAATGAACCAAATGACTAAGAAAAGTGATGATCTTTATTTCTGACGCGCGAGATTTTTCAAATATCGGTAACAGTTACTATGAATGTTCTTTGTGCTTCTCATTTTAATGTCATGATTTTGAGCAGTGTCAAGTTTCACAATCGGCTGCAAAAAAGTCTTCATAGCATATCGTAAGCCATAAGTGAAATCCAGCATCTCTCTTTGTCGTATTTACAATGCCCATATACAGCATGCACTTGAACCCTTTGGACATGCCACTCTGGCTAAAAATATGTCCCACGGCATGGTCAAGGTTAACATCCATACATCTTTTTCTTAGATCTTGTCACAGAGTTGGGTCAAACAGGGACAAGCATCTCTCATCATGGCACATCTGATATGGGTATACAGAGTTATCTAAGGAAACTTCCATTATATAAGTGCAGTACTGCCTTGTTCAACAGTAGCAGGCTCAACATGGAGCTGATAAGAAAGGTATGGGCTGCAATATTACGGTAAAGTCTATGCTTAGATCATACAAACACAAACATATCAAATTATCTAGGACACATAAGTAGTTGACGGCCCTTAATTCACAACCACATCATAGAAAAGAAGACAATATTACCAAGTCTCCTTGATCACACAGAACATATCATGATGACAGGGCTGGAAATTAATGGTGTCATATATTCAGCAAAATAAAGTTGACTTCAAATTTTTGTCATACATACTTCCCGAAAAATAGGTTGGGACAATTCATCCTCAGTTCGGGACAATTGAAATTTATTTTCAGGACAATGATGGGACAATAGGGAAAAAAAGGTAATTTGGAGGCCTGCATATAAGGCAGTTCTTTCATTAATTTTCAAAACTGACAAACAAAAATGACAATCAAACCTAATTGACTTGGAGTGCATTATACCAGGATAATGAAGATGATGTGCCTCCAAGCCCTCTGTTTTCATCTGTCAGTGACTACTTACTGATTTTTCTAATACAACTTGAATGCCCAAGAGCCAAGAAATCAAATTGTTCATTTTGAATATCGTCCAACTGTCCTGATGTAAGTTATGCATCGTAGCTATGTCATCCTCTACTGTCCACAGCTGGTAATGTGATGATGACATTAAGTCTCTAAAGATAGATGCTATGGTATGCCTGCCACATATTAGCAGGGATCTGCATCTGTAGAGACACTTGTGGCATGTGCCATGTAAAGAACCTCTGGACACCTAATAAATTTACAGTTTGGTATTACGTCAATCAACTGACAATGAACGGGTCAACTATTAATTCATTGCTGCCAGCTTCATGCTTAAACCCTGTCACTGCTGCCAATACCCATATCCATTATAAAAATGCCAAGTCAGCAGAGAGAAGATAAAACTGAAAAAAGTTACACAAGCTGGATGTACCCAGGCTTACTACAGTATAGCTAAGTAAGCCTAGGTTAATCTATTTCCTTGGTTCTACATGTACTAGTACATTATATGGTTGATGTACTAGTAACAAGTACAAGTAAAGTTAAAAATGCAGAAAATTGTGAACATGCTGGAAGGATAACTTGAATCTGTGCACCATGGTACAAATTCTCCCTTGGACTCAACCCCAAGTTGATCTTCCTTCTTTCAGCTTTGGGAACCAACAAATGAAATTGGTATGGCCATGCTCCTGTTCTACGATTAAAGGCAGCTCCTTGGCTATTTTCTTTCATAACCTTATTGACAATCAATCTCACGACTCTTCTTATCTTCTTTGCTCAGTCACCGTATACTTTGGAAAAAAATTAGATTAGGCCTTATAGTCTATTCATCTAGCTTATACCACATCATTAGTCATGGTCTGAAGCTTTTATTTATTGATGAGCTTGGCTGCAAATCGTTCCCCACTTTATACCAAGCCACTGGAAAATGATATAACGGATCACTGCAAAGCGTTGAATGACAAGAACATGACCCTTGCTGGGATATCAGGTATTCAACAGGTCTTGACGTCAGAGCAGGCGACGTCCAATTACTCATTCTGGGAACTGCGTCAAAGGTTCCTTGAATAACCTCACAGCTGTGTGCTGCAAGATCTCGAAAGTACTTATTGGGTTTTAAGTGTCAGAGATGACGAGATGACTTTCATAAGCTATAAATAAGAGGTCACCTGTTGATTGCAGGTGGCGTACCCAAGAATTGTTGAGCAATTGCCAGCAGAATGTACTGCGCCTGCACAAAACCCGGATTTTCCGTGGTTTTTGTTGGACGTTCAGTCAACGTTGTATTAGAATTTTGTCCATTGCAGATGATATCTTTTCCAGATACTACAGTTAGATGGGATGTCATTCTGCCACAGTGTTATGCACAATACATTAACAGATTTCGCGCAGGCGCAGTGCGTTCTGCTGACATGCTGCATTTGTCGATACACAAAACTTCTCACTGATAATATGGCATTATGGGTTCAAACAAACATCAACACCATCTCTTTGACTTTACATGACAGTTTAATATTCAATAGTTTCTTTTGTAAAATAAATTTGATATGTGCTAAGGATTAATGTAAAATTTATAATAAGTCCTTCACAATTCTTAACAGATAGAACTTGATTCTGTAAGTTATAACATATTCTGTAATTTGTAATACAGAAGCAGAAGTTGTGGGGATTATCGATATCAACATCAGTTTACCTTGACATTGCCTTCCTAATCCTATGTTTGTAATTTACAAATAAGGAGAGAACGTAAGGTGATACCCTAATATCACTCCCAACCAACTCCATGAATCTTACATATGACGACAGGACGTAAGCTGATAGTGATACACTGCCTTTCCGTAACAAATTATGCCATCGATCCCCTCCCTTGCCCACACCACTCCCTACTTACACGCCCAACCCCCACCTCCCAGTCCCATTGCATAATTTGGCCCCCATTCCACATTTTACGCCCCTCATTTTACGTTACTATGCGTCCATTCATCGAGTTGTTAGTGCAATGTTTCCACTATAGACACTATGCACCCTTACCTACCTGTTATAAGTTTTAGTTGATAAAAGAAAGGGGGAATGTTCACCATACTTTCCCCCCAATTTCAGTCAATCTCCGGAAATTCACGAACTTGCATCTCGTATCTTCGCCCCATTTCGGCTTCAGATCTCGCAATCTCTCGTTTTAACGAACAGGCATGATCTTTGGAAAATTTCAACAAATAAAGGGGATATGGACGGCTATATCTTCTTGCCAATGCATCTTTGGTTGAAAGTTATTGAACTTTACCACGACAACTGAAAACTTAAGAAAAGAAAAGGAAGAATAAGGAAGAAAGAATAGAAATTAGGGGATCCCCCTATCACGTGAGTTTGACTTCAACGAGATCTGATATCTATTTTTGGCGATGACGCATAAATTATGATAAGTAGCTTATCTCTGATTGGTTAGTTTCTATAAATAGAATAATTAGCTGCTGACGTTTTGTGACGTCTTCGAATCAACTACCTTGTATGATGTAATTTGCATACAGCAGAGGTCCATGCGGCTGCGCGCTCCAGGCTCGTCAGTAGAAGGAAATATTTTTTGGCGGAAGGTCGCAACAACTTTGATGCGCTGAACCTGATAAGAAGTCCAGTTATTTACCAAGGAACAAGCAAGAAAGAACATTCGTAGCGTTTATAATGCCTTCTGGGTGCGAAGACTCCTTCTTGTACGAAGAGGTCGAGCTGAATTCCCCCGAAAGCTTGTACGGCAAAGGTGCGTATTGGGGTGAGCAACTGCCGCCGCCTCGGACTAGGCCATGGCGCGTGGCATTTTTCTGTTGTCTGGCATGTCTGCACGTCTGAAAACACCAAATAAGGGCGTTTCGCACATTTTGTGCCGACAGTTTGGTCAGTTCTAGCTTCCTAACGGGTTGCCAATACATACTTCACCAAAAATTATCAATCTTATCGGCACATTTTGGTGTTCTAGTGAATATTTGACTGCTCCGTGTGAGAGAAACCGTCATGGTCTGGTGTTATGCAAATTAGCTATCACCATGCGCGAGCTCCGCCAGTGGTGAAATAAAAGGGGAAGTGAAATGGGCGTTTCTGCAAAAATAACGCAATTTCATGGATTAAATGCGCCATTTTCGCTGTCAGATGCATCTTACAGGTTTAAAGCAGCACTAGCTGTATTGTCTTACCAGGAATAGTAGGCGTTAACAAGGCCGGGCTTGTGTCTGGTCGGTCTGCCCAAAGCGTGATCGGATTTTGTTTATACAGGCTCGCATTTCATTGACGTCAATATACATTCATAGTTACCACGGCACTGCCCAGGCCCGGGGGCTATAGGTAAACCTTCTTTTGTCAAGTTCAACGTGATTTTATTACATCCACTGTGAATTGAGACATCTGTTTTTTTGCTTTGGACAAAGGAAAAGGAAATCCTGTTCGACACCTGTGTGAAGTTAGTGTACTGAGCTGCTTTTCCCTCAGATTTCGTTGGTGATCTTCCAGCAAGCTGTGTCCTCAACGGGTGCAAAGATTGATTGAACACAACGCATTATTTTGCAGTGTTTTGTGTATTGATATTGAATACGGATAGCATAATTTTATTCACACTTGGCTCTGCTTTCTTTGTCAGGGATAAAATGAAATACACTTTGCATAAGGTAGCAAAATATTACAGTATTTTCTTTGATTTATTTGCATTGCCAATGTACACATATTTAGTTAAGCCAGCTTTTGAACATGTTAAGATTTTGGTAGATTTTATGTGCAATTTGTTGTGTTTTCTGCTGTTTCTCTGAAAATGTTGATGTGGAATGTACCTGATGCTGATGTCTTTTCTTCCAGATCCCTTTCTCGAGCTGTTACCAAAAGAGCTACGCTTGATGAACGGTGGTCAGCCGGCAAGGCACCCCCTTAGCCCTACTGAACATCCCTTGAAAGGGTCCAGCTTGCTGGGCCTATCTGGTACGAAAATGACTTGTTTGTGTCAGACTTGAAATTAATGCCAGTCTTTTACTCAAGTTCAACTGCTTATCACAATCCCTTCCCTTTTTTCTTCAGGCCTTTTTTATTATTATACATTAATTTGACCAAAATGATTTTTTGTTGTTGAAATGATCAAATGCAGAAGCTCATGTATTATATTGTGCGATGAAGAATTGAAAATGCAACATGAATTTGTGAAATGGTTTATGATGAGCAGTATGAGCTTGAACAGGGTACGAAATACTTTTGTTCTAGTATCAGTGAAATTTTAGGTACCTAGGATTTTACCTGCAATTTGGTGAAACTGCTTGCAAGGACTTGATTATGATAAAGATTTTATGGAACCAAGCTTTTGGTGCTGTAAGTGTAAAAGGCGTAGATTTTGCCTTGCCAGAATTCAGATTCGTTCCAATTTTTTTTATGTGCAATTTCAGTTGTGAGCATATTACAGTTTGCAGGTGAGTATTTCGTGCCCTGTTGAATGTGTTTGTATATGTTGGAAGGTTTTTATATTGGTAGAGCTATGTAAATATCTTACAAAGTATGATATTGCTGAGAATGTATGATTGTACGGAAAGCAGCAAACTTTTGTGTAAAGCACCCAACATTGAAGGCTGAGTTTTTGTTCCATGCACTAGGCATTGAAATTTTTTTCACCAAACATTGTACTGTCGGTTCACTACCCCATGACTGCTTGTAAATGGCCAACTCACTTGTAACTCGAACAAAAGCTCACTTGTGTGTACAAAACGCTGTAAAGGGATGTTCAGTCAGAAGTGCAGAAATGTACAGAAGTATCAGAAGGCACTGACATTGTGAAACAGCCAATGTACTGTATCGGAAACACAGACTTTATCACAAAATGTGATAGTTGATGTTGTACAGCCCGTGAAGAAAGTGAAAAATTAATTGTGGTGAGAGAAAACTACAGAATGGAAGTAAAGAGTGGTTTTTCCCTGACACGTGAGATTT